ATTGGGGGGGTTATATTGACTGGATCAAATTATTGGGGGGGTTATAACCCCCCCATCCCCCGTGTAAATTACGCCGGTGTGTCAGGGGGTCAAAAAGTCACAACCTCATCAGAAGATGAAATTTTTCATTTTTGTAGTTTGTAAATTAGGGTGGGTCACCTTGCACACCCCACTACTGAACGTCCCTGGTGTTTTCATGTACCCTTTAAAAAAAAGGCATGTTAAAAGAAAAAAAAATGGGTCTCACTGTCCCCCGGGGACCGCTTTTTGGCCACACCCCTTTTTCATTCTGACCATCAAAGTTAGGGGTACAGGGACCTTAACTGCCAATAACTTTGTTATAAACCAACCACGGTGGCACGGTGACCCACCCTAGCCCATGGACTAAATAAGTATTAATCATCTTACTGCATGCAGCGTATTTTCCTGTTAAGCCTGGTTCACAATGTCTCAGACTGTATTCTRTTATTTGTTTCAGCTAAACCAAGTACCACAACTCTGTTACCAAATAGATCTGGTGAGTATCCCTTCATGTAATTTAAAGGCTTTTTACTGCTTATACTGTGTACAATACAATAAGTAGGTATAAAAAAGTTAAGATTTTGTAGTTTCGTAATGTTATTGATAAATTGTTTTTTGTAGCAGTTATTCTAATAGAGATGGAAGGAGCAACAATGTACTAACAGATAATTTACAATGTAAGAGAATTAATTTTTCCAACATATTAAAAATAAAGTATTTATTTATCCACAGAAACTTCCACCGGCCTTCAAAATAAAAATAGCTCAGAGTCTACTAGTGGAGGAGAMAAGAAACCAGGTACACCAGGTAAAAACACTGGCTTTCAATCATTAAAAACACAACAAAGGTCAAGTGATAGCTTGTGTACACCCAGTGTAGAAGTTGGTTATAGTAGTAATACCATGCTCTTTGAATACAGTTTTGAATGCAAAGGTGTTTCAACTCAGTATATAAGCATTATAAATAGTATGGGACTAAGACTAGAGCTCTGTGGTTCTCCACGAATGATTGAAACAGGGTTTGTTTGAGTACCATCAGCAAAGAATAGTGTAAATAGTTTGAGGAATTTTATATAAACTAAACATGAAATTGTTACCGAAACAGTTCTTTGCATTTTCATTTGGCTAATTTTGAGTTACATTTAGTTTTTTTTTTTGTTTCCACAAAGTTGTGAAACATGAAGACCAGAAAATTCTTTGCTAAATACAAGTCCGGTCATATATATGCAGTATATATGTGTTTCAGATGAAAGACAGCTTGAGGTAATAGATTCTCATTATCACAATAAGGCTGCTCAACTTAAAAACCACCAAATAATCTGAGATTTTATYATCTACTGAACACGATATAATTAAGAGATAAGCAGTTAAAACAAAGGTAAGAGAAAAATTGAACTTTTAACATGATATRAAGGTTCACAGTTTTTAGTTTGACCCATCCTTTGGCACCCTACATGACAGATTATGCTACTTTCTCATTAACGAAGTCACACATTTTGTCTAAAAATATAGACATTTTTAAAATATTACAGCAAGTTTTCTTTTTTTTTTTCTTTGCAGAGACTAAGGAATCGACCACAGCACACTCAACAGTCTCTACTATTGAGATCATCCCTACCCAAATGGATAAACATAGTAGGAATACATTTTTGGCTGAATTATTAATGTTATTTATGGACTGTTGATAGACCAGGAATAAAGTTTACACTACTGTTTGTTAAAGTTAGACGTGAGGTCATTAAATTACAAAAAACTTGTTACAAGAAAGATTTAAAATTGTGGTTATCAAGATGCAGTYGGTAAATTCTTAGTTTGAGTTTGCTCTTATTCATTTTCAGCGATGGTCACGGGAGTAGGCATCGGTGTTACTGTGGTGATCTTGACCGGTTCTACGATCTGCCTCATCCTCTTCTACATATGTCGAAGGTGAGCTGGTTTTAAAACAATTGTTGTCCATTTTTTGAAGTTTCAGRTACTGGGATAAATAAACATGGCTTTGATCTTTTTAAATTTCAGGAGAAAACATCATATCCCAATATCGTCGGAAGCAGAAATGGAACCAATGAATGGCGTAWCGGCAAAGGTGCCCTAGAAGTCAAACTCAAGAACTTTCTGCTTTACCAAAGACCAGAGGTGTAGGAGGACCTGTGGCCACTTTGATGTCACCCACAGGTGTTTACAGCGGATAAAATAAGTATTGAACACGTCACCAGTTTTTTTTTGGGCCACCCACGTCAAAGTTATTTTTACGACAGAAAGGTTTCATTTCTTATTACTTAATAAACATACGAGATATATTTAAGCACTGCATATATTCAGCTGAATGTTAAAACTGTATATGGAAAAAATACAAATAGCTTGTGTAGATATTTTGAATAACTATGAGGATAAACTTTTAAAAGTAGCATATTGTTCATTTCCTTACAWACCATGTAAGGAACACACAAAGGTCCATATAGCATATTGTTCCTTACACACACAAAGGTCTTTGGTGATCTGTTAGTACTCAGTSTATGTGTTGGGGATGCCCTTCAGCTACTATTATAGCAAATTTTAGCTCAGTATGCGCAAGAATGTTTGAGTTATTGTTATTTTTGTGTTTGAGGCAGCCATCTTGAATCACTCCAGCAGCTAATTGGTTGAAAATGTACATCCAATGATTGCTTTTTGAGAGTTCCATTAAAATCCTTGTGGTTAATGTGATGTTTTGCTAACAGACAGACATGGGCAATTAAAAAAACAAATGATCTGAAGTGTAAAAACAGACTCATAATTACACAGAACTACCTGGTGAGAATGTAGAAACAATGTGAAAGCACAGGTTTAGAAGAACATTTTTGTCCTAAATATGCTTTTACAGAAAAATTGTRAAAAGTTTGTGATGTTCTTATTTTAATCTACAATGTGTCATTTGATATGTTTGCATGTACAGAAATGCATGAAAAGAATGTAAATGCTGGCGATTCTCTAGCTAGCACCTGGTGCTAAAGCTTAAGCTTGTTTATCCTTTAAGTCATTGTGATTATGTTTTTTTTTTTTTTTGGTAGTCCATATTTTAAAAAAATCTAAACAAACAGTCCAATATTATATATCGAATAAATATATAGATTGTTTTTCTCACCAGCATTTGGTAAAATTGTGCTTTAAAGGCCCACAGCTGTCCATACATTTTTTTAAATATCAAAGAACACAACCTATTTCTCTTTATTATGTTTTATTACCATGAGCAAACTTCTGCTTTTATGTTAAGCCAGATTATAATACATATGTCTGCTGGCTTTAAAAGTCACAGCTAAATGAATTAATGAGGAACATCATCTGACCTTTTGAAGTAAATCCTTCCGCTGTTTGAATAAACTGGAATTTTTCTTTTTAACTTGCAAAAAATGTCATGTTTCATGAGAAGGCAACTGAACTCACTGTAGCAAAAAATATAAACTAGKTTATTAAATGTGAACAACTGAATCAATTTTTTAATTTTCTTTTGTCTTTCTTTACCAGTTCCATAATGGTCTACATCAGTGCTATTCAATAGGCRGCCCCCGGGCCACATCCGGCCCGCGGACYGTCTTTGACTGGTCCACCCACGACTGAACCAACGTAAACCGCAAAAACACATTTAAATCACATTTGCTGTGAGAGTTTTAAAAATTCCCACCCTTTCTCTTGTACGTGAACGCACCGCTCCTGGTATCGTAGCAACGCCAGCCCAGAATAGTAACAACC